TCAAGGCTAGTGCTCTACCACTTGAGCCACAGCACCACTTCCGGCTTTTTTCTTTTTGCTTATGTGGTGCTGAGGAATGGAACCCAGGGCCTCATGTATGCAAGGCAAGCGCTCTACCACTGAGCCACCTTCCCAGTCCCTTTGTACCCATTTTCTACAACCACCTGAACAATGCAGTAAAGCTTGGTGGGTGGCCTAAAGAAGAGTTTCTCATCCCATAGCTCTGGAGGCCAGAACGGGAGACAAGGTGTCAGCATGGCTGCTTCCTCCTGAGTGGTGTGGCCCAGCCCACTGTGGCCTGCCTGCTGACTCTGGGGAATACTGACTTACACAAGTATCCCCACGGTCTTGGCCTTTGTCTTCACCTGGTATTTGGTCTTGTTGCTTTGTTTTTTGTTTTGGTTTGGTTTTTTTGGCCAGTTGTGGGACCTCTGGGCCTGGGCACTGTCCCTCAGCTCTTCAGCTCAAGGCTAGTGCTCTACCATTTGAGCCACAGCGCCACTTCTGGCTTTTTCTCCTTATGTGGTGCTGAGGAATAGAACACAGGGCCTCATGCATGCAAGGCAAGCGCTCTACCACTGAGCCACCTTCCCAGCCCTGTGGTATTTGTTCTTTATGGATAAATATTCCCTTTTCCTAAGGGTACCATCATGAAGTATACCTTGCTGGAACCTCATGTCTGAAAAGACCCTGTCCCCAAGTAAGGCCATATGATGGAATACTGGAGGCTAGAACTTCAATATAAAAATTTGACTGGGAGACACCTTAATAACAAATAAATAAAAAGATCTAGAAGCTGGGCACCAGTGGTTCATGCTTGTGGTCCTGGTTACTCAGGATGCTCAGATCTGAGGATCACGGCTCAGAGCCAGCCCAGGCAGAAAAGCCAATGAGACTTTGTAACTCCAATTAACTACCAGACAACTGGAAGTGGCAACTCTGGCTTGAAGTGGCAGAGCACTAGCCTTGAGCGAAAAAGCTCAGGGACGGTGCCCAGGCCCTGAATTCAAGACCCATGATGGACCAAAAAAGAAAGAAAAATAAAGATTTAGGGGGCTTCCACCTTCACTGTCTGCAGTTATTACTGTTCCATTTATTGAATAAATAGTGAGGTATAATTTCTGTGCAGAATAATGCCAAACCTAGCAATGAGTGGAAACAAACTCCCCCTTGGTGACCCAGGCCTGCCTCAGGCATAGAAGGCTCATGGGGGCAAGGTGGCATTGGTGGCCTCTGCCCTCCAACACATTGGCGGTTGTCAAGTAAATATTTACCTAGATGAACAAATGAATATAAAAAGGTGTGGTGTTTTATTTAGTTGGAAGTAGGGTATGAACTCAGGGCCTCAAGATTGCTTGGTCTGCATGTTGTCTGGTGCCATTTCACTTGAACCATGCCTCCAGCCCATCTCTTCGCTTCTTAAAATTCTTGACTTAGGAATTGTAACTCCAAACTTCCCTGTCAGGTTCCTCCCAGAACTGAAGACAGTCAGGAGCTGTCTGTCTTTTACTCCCAGAGGGGTGAGTGTGCATGAGTTTGTGCTTTATAAGGAATAAATAACTTCTCTCAATTCAGGAGGAAATGCAGTATCATCATAGCCATTCCGTAGTTTGCCATTGTTGAAACTCTGAGATTCATTAACCATGATTTAAAATAAGTACGACCTAGTTTTTCCCTAAGCGGTAATAACCAGCTTTAATGTTTCCTGACATTTTTTCAGGGAATACTACCAAATATGTGTCTTCTAACCATACAAGTGAATCTAATGATCCTGTGAATTCAACAACTTCAGCTCCACTGGTCTCAAGCATTGTGACACAAGTCACAGTGAAATCCACAGCAACTCCTAAAGTGGCAACCACAAAGCTCTCAACAAATGTGACTTCTACAACCTTGAAGTCTACGCCTAGAGCAACAAGTGTTGCACAGAACGTAACCAAGATACCCATAGCCACAACCACCACCACCCACAATAGTTTACCAGTATCGCTGGCAACAACTGTTCGTTCTGAAGAAAACAAAGGATCAAAATTTGATACTGGCAGCTTTGTTGGTGGTATTGTGTTAACACTGGGAGTCTTATCTATTCTTTATATTGGATGTAAAATATATTACTCAAGAAGAGGAATTCGGTATAGAACCATGTAAGTTTTCAATAGCTGTGCTGGCAGAAGTACAGACTCAGGATCACCCTCCTCTTACAGTAGTGAGAATACCATTAAGTTCAGGCCAGTTCTCCTTTGGTGGCTTTTAGAAGATAGCTAGCTGGTAAAGTCAGTAGAGTTCAAAGTACAGGTCTGCTTGACAGTCTTAACCACTACAGTATACTACATACAATTAATTTTGATGATACATCTTGCAGTTGTTCCAACATTACTGTGCATTATGTGTAGCTTTGATACAAACACAAAACCAAGTTATTTTAATGTCTTATATATTACAGTGACGAGCATGATGCCATCATTTAAGGAAATCTGTGGATGAAGGAAAGGAGAAAACTGCAGCTCTATCAACTAATCTTGGTTATTACTTTAAATT